AGTTCTGATGGTGGCATCTCAGGCACTAGCTAGTAGTTGGGGGAGGTTTGGCGGGGCACTGGTAAGAGCTCCTAAAATTATGAACCACTTAACTAGCCCCAGAAGAGTAGCAGCGTGGGAGGGAGAAAAGAACCTGGTACTGGCAATCTGCATCTTTGGGGTGCCCCTCCCGTGCTCTGAAGGTCCTCTTGTCCTCAGCCCTGGATGGGAGGTGAAGGGGCTGAAGATTTTGTAATTGAGCTGGGGGACTGGCACCCCAGATTCTTGCACATGACAGCCTTTTCTCGTTGGGGAAGGGTTCCTCTTGCTCCCCCAGAGTAAAAGACATACCTGGGTGAGAGGAGAGACTGTTCCAGTGGAGCTGGAGCTTCTTGGCTGGAGGTGGAGTAGGGGAAGGGGGATGCGTTGGCCTGCCCAAAGGCAGAGGGATGGACTGGGTAGTATGGAGGGGGCACTGCTCACCAGGTCTCTCTGGTTCCAAAAGACAGGCCACCAGCTCCCCAATCCTTTTTACAAGTTTCTGTCACCATGTGGTTGAAGATGTGGTTGAAGAGAGGGGAGGCTGAGGCAGAGGGCGCTGGGTGGTTCTCTTATAGCCCCTGCCTTGGCAATAGACTAGCACTCTAAGCCCACCCCAAGGAGGGTCCCTAAAATAGCAGCCTCATGTCTCTCCCAAAATAGTTCTGAGACGCATCCCTCCTGAAAGGGGAACAAAGGCACAGAAATAGGGAAGCTGGAAGCTAAAGGTCAGAAAGAGGAGAATGCAGTGCTGGTATGAGCGTGGGCAGCTGCAAAGGAAGCAAGGATAGTGGGCGTGGGGAGGGGGTGCCCAGCCCCACGTGGGACCAGCCCCAGGCCTGAGAGGGCCACTGGCCCTGCTCTCTTGAGATGGAGTGGGAGAGGGTAGGGCTTGATTTCATGTGACAGGAAGAACATGAGCGGACTAGGACTGGAGGGAACTTCAAGACCAAATGTCTCTGGAAATAGGCCCAGAGAGGGTCAGTTATTTCTCTAAAGATGTCCAGCAAGTCCAGCGGTGATAAAGCCAGATCCAGGACCCGGGTTTCCTGGTTTCCAGCTTCCTATAAACACATACCTGGGTTATGCCACCTTCTCCCAACCTGTGTAAAGGCCTGAGTTCCTTCAGTGTGGGATTTCTGTCTCTTCTGTTCATTGAACATAGTAGGTGTTCAATAAACACTTGGTAAGTGAATGAATGTCTCCTCCCCAGAGCTATCCCGAGCCCACAACACCACGGTGTTCCAGGGCATGGCAGGCCAGTCCCTGAGGGTCTCCTGCCCCTACAACTCCTTGAAGCACTGGGGGAGACGCAAAGCCTGGTGCCGCCAGCTGGGTGAAGAGGGCCTGTGCCAGCAGGTGGTCAGCACTCACCCCTCGTGGCTGCTGTCCTTCCTGAAGAGGCACAATGGGAGCACGGCCATCATGGACGATGCCCTGGGTGGCACACTCACCATTACGCTGCGGAATCTTCAAGCCCACGACGCTGGCCTCTATCAGTGCCAGAGTCTCCATGGTAGCGAGGCCGACACCCTCAGGAAGGTCCTGGTGGAGGTGCTGGCTGGTGAGTGGGCAGCTGACTGCACCCTGGCCTGCCCTTGGGCCTGGGGTCATCTTTAGTGTCTGAGCACAGGACCATCCTCAGGGCTTTCGGGGACCCTGGGAAATCCCACAGTGTGGATCTTGTCCCTCCCCACCCCACAACTCAGGGTCAACTCAAGGTCACTGTGGATGGTTGTGCAGGTTGCTAACTGCACAAGGGGGTCACAATCCAGCCCTGCTGTCTCTCTCCAGGCTGTGCTCCCTGGTGGAGGACTGCATCACTTGCAGGAAGGGTACAGTTCTCTAACTTGCACAAGGCACCTTATGAGCTAGCTGTGGTCCTGCTTCCCCCAAACAGCTTTATCCATTTGGCATCTGGTTAGGATGTGAGCACTGAGGTGGTCCTTAAGGAGTAGGAGGACATTCATCTATTCCTTCACCCAACCACCCAACGGACCCACCTACATAGATTAAGCACCAACCTGGTACAGAGAAACCACCCTAGAAAGGAACACTGCTGTGACCCTGGGCAATGTGCTTCTCCTCTCTGGGCCTCCATTTCCTCATCTTTAAATGGAGGTGGTGGTGCCTGTGCTGCTGACCCCACAGGGCTCCCATGAGACACAAATGACATGACAGAGTTAAAAGTGCTTGGGGGTCAGTGACAGTCGTTGCCCCAGCCTCCTGCTGCTAACTGCTCGGGATCCTCATTTCAGGCTCCACTAGGTGAGATGGGCAGTGGTGGGGTCCTTCTCATCCCTGAGCTTGCACAGGGGATGCCCTTCAGGAAAGCTTTCCGTCTGTGTCTCCAGAACGTGACTGTGTCCCAAAGGAGAACAAATCTGAGATCACGTATCCCTTTTCTGACTCTCCCCTTGTCCAACTCCTCTCTCCAACATGGCCCCTTATCATGGAAATGAAGGTTGAAAGTAACATTTGTCTAAGGTGGGGAGGGTAGGGGACACCGCCTGCCTTAGACCCCAGACCCTACCTCCACGAGAGCAGGGGGCGAGGACACACAGATTTTCAGCCCTATCAGGGTCTAAGGCTCAGCTGACGCCCAAGAGGAGAGCAGGAAAAGAATAACAACAACAACAACAATAACAATAATCCATAGCTGGTATAGGCAGCTTGACTGTTTACACAGGACTTTCAAAAACACCCATTATTTCGTTTGATCTTCCTAAAGACCCTGTGTGATGGGAGGGTGGGAGTTGCAGTTACTGAGCTCCTGTGAGGGGATGGGCACTACACAGGATGCTTTCACTGTATCCTGCAACACTATTATTAAGGTGTTCCTAATTGCCCCACTTTATAGGTGAGGAAACTGAGGCTCAGAGAGGTTAACAACTTGATCCACCCAGGGCCATGTCCCAGAGAGCCTCACCCCACCCAGAGAGGTTCTCCCCATTGTGGCATCAAGGAGGGGGACTAGAAGCTCACAGGCTCTGCCTCCCACAGACCCCCTTGATTACCAGGACCCTGGAGATCTCTGGATCCCTGAGGAGTCCGAGAGCTTTGAGGATGCCCAGGTGGAGCACAGCATCTCCAGGTATAGTGATAAGTCTTTCTTAAAATCTCTGGGCAGACCACCCTGCAGAGCCAAGGCATGGGGTGGCAGCTGGGGGGTGGCATGTGCCAGAAGTACAAATTCCAAGGCAATTGGAACACTAAAGTGTCTGCATGTGATCTTGTCTAAACACCCCTCCAACCAGCCAGTGTGTGTTGGTATGACTGTGCCAGTTGTTAAAATATTGCAAAACTTCCCTAACAGTTTGTAAGTAGCTGCTGCTCCAAGACTGTTGAATGGTCGGCCGCCCACACCCTCCCCCGGCAGCCCTCAGACATCCCCACAATTCAGCGACAATGAAACTTTTAGTATTTTAGTACAAAACTGGTACCCTCAGACCCCTGCTTCCCTGATGGAACCAGAATCAGTTCCGACTGGTTCTTGATTAGTGTTTAAACACTGTGAGTATAGCCATGAAGTGCACATGTGCATGCACACACACACCATACCACACCATCATGCAGAAAACTGCTCAGCAAGGGAGGTAATTGTTTAAAAGCAGTCAGCAGGCAGATCCATGCCTGGAACTCAGGTCTCCTGACCACAGGCTCCCCCCAAGCCCCACAAAGCCTCATCTAGGGATGGTGCTGGATGGGGAGATATCCTCAGCCCCCGGAGCTCCTGGTGTCTCCCCATTCCTTCTATGAGGGCAGATTCCAGTCTGTGGGTCCCCTCATGGCCTCCCACATGTCCTCTTTTTTTTTCTCCAAGGAACCTTTCTGAAGAGGAGAGCCCCTTCCCACCCATTTCCATCCTTTTCCTCCTGGCCTGCATCTTTCTCAGCAAGCTTCTGGCAGCCAGCGCTCTCTGGGCTGCTGCCTGGCATGGGCAGAAACGGAGGACACCCCATGCCAGTGGGCTGGACTGTGGCCATGACCCAGGTTACCAGCTCCAAACCTTGACAGGTGAGCTTGGAGAGCACGGTGGCGGCTGGGGGCTGGTGAGGTGGGGCCGAGAGGGGCCGAGTGAGTACTCTGTCTGCTGCAGAGCTGAGAGACACGTGAGAGGAGGACCCACGGTGGAGGAGAGGCCCAGAAGAGGTCTGCACGGACCACCCCAGCCTGCTGCACAGCCGCCCCTTGGCGGTGTGCGTGCACCACCAAGTCTCCTGGTTCTGCTTTCGCAAAAGGCCACTCTGCCTGTACCCTGCTTCTCCTGGCCCCTGGAAGCAGGGATTTGTGCGTGAGTGCATGTGTGTGTGTGTGTGTGTGTGTGTGTGTGTGTGTGTGTGCGTGTGTGTGCGTGGGAGGTGGGAAGGACATCTACCAACTTCTGGACATTGGACATTAAACACTCTCACAAATAAATCCAAGACTTCATGTTCAACTGATGGTTTAGGGCGTCATGAAGGTCTTCTCTTTTGCTGCAGGGCTAGGAGAGTGGATTCAGATGAGGAAAAGATAAAAGGTCTGGCTCCTTGGGGCCTCGGGTCTTAGGATATCATGTCCCTCCATTCCCACAGGCTCCAAACTGGCCAATCTTTTTATTCTTCTCTCTCCCTCCCAGAGATCTGATTGCCAAGCCCTGCCTCCTCCTGTGGAATTTCTCTAGCATCCTCTCCTCTCCTCCTGCCTCCTGTCCATCAGTTCTCTAGGATTACTGCTGGGCCCCCTGGCCCAGGCCCCCTTCCTCCCTCCGTCCCCCTCAAGTCCATCCAATTCCCAGCTGACTCAAACCTCCAGCAAACCTAGAGGTTTGCTTTTATCATGTTACTCCGCCTCCGGAGAAACGGCAAGGGATTGGGTTGCAGAGTGCAGCAAACCAGAGCTGGGGGCTACTGATGCAAGCCCCTTATCCTGTGGAAGGGAAACTGCAGCTCAAAAGGGAAAGGATTGGGCTTCGGAGACACAACAGTGAACAAAACAAGCAAAGATTTCTGCCCACACAGAGCCATGTTCTAGTGGGAAGAGAGCAGACAAACAGAGTAAGTCAGTCAGTCAGATGGTTAGAAGTATGGGGAGTGCAGAAGGCGCGGGGGATGATGCAATTCTGAAGAGTAGAGTCAGAAGGAACCACTTGAGAAACACTTTGAGGAAGCAAGGGGGGAAGAGTATTCGGGGCACAGGCAACAGCCAGGCAGCTCAGGGAACCTTCTCTCTCTCTTCAACACACACATGCCACCTGAGGTGGAGTGAGGAGAATGGGATGGAGACTACCCTGAGGGTGGGTTGCCCCGAAGAGGAGGAAGCAAGTTGGCCACATCCTCAGGTTCTCTGTCCTGGGCCTCAGGGAGGTGGAAGCCCAGGAGCCCCTCTGGCCATGGCCACACGGGGCTGCGTTGCCCCCTAAGCTGGGCGTTGTGCACCTGGGGTTTTGAATCACTGGGAAGGAGCCCCTGATGCAGTCCAGTGTTCCAGCCTCATGTCAACACATCACTCCCCTAATTGCAGTCCTACCCCAGCCCTGCCTCACCCACTCCCTGCTTAGGCTGCTCTGCTGTCTCTGTCCCCAGCTCCAGGACTCTGGTCCAGTCTGTGTTTCCCTGGTGCCCCTGACTCAGCGGCACATGAAACTTCCCCATCGGGTCCTGGGGCAGTCGTCTCCTTCCTGCAGACACAGGCACAGTCTAGGAGCCAAGGCTGAGCACAGCCCACACTGAGCCCCCTGCACCTCCCTCGCTCCCGCCCCGTCTGGGCACCGAGGGTGATGAGATGGAAGGGGAGGCTCCAGGATGTGCCTGGTGGTGGAGTGCCGCTGGAACTTTCCTCCCCTTGGGAGCTCAGCCTTTTCTCCTGCCTGCTCTGCCATGTCAGAGACATCTACCCTGGGATTCAGATTGCCATAGGGATCCCCTGCCTTGGACTCTCTGGAGTGCACACTGAACAGAAGGGGTTTTCCGATTTCAAGTTTGCCTCCTACTAAGAAAACTTAAGCAAATTCCTTAACTCCTCTGAGCCTCAGGGTCCTCGCATGTAAAAACAAACAAAAAACCCAACAGTAGGGGCTTCCCTGGTGGCACAGTGGTTGAGAGTCCGCCTGCCGATGCAGGGGACACGGGTTCGTGCCCCGGTCTGGGAGGATCCCACATGCCGCGGAGCTGCTGGGCCTGTGAGCCACGGCTGCTGGGCCTGCGCGTCCGGAGCCTCTGCTCCGCAATGGGAGAGGCCACAACAGTGACAGGCCCGCGCACCGCAAAAACAAACAAAAACAAAAACAAAAACAAAAACCCAACAGCAAACGAAACCAAAACAACCCTACTTTGGTGGGTTTTTATGCGACTGAAAGGAATAACATTAAAGTCCTGGCCAGATGTCTGGCACATAGTAGGTCCTGGATAAGCACTGGCTTCCTTCCTCTTCTCTAATGCCCAGTGATAGGACACCTCCCTGGATCCTGGCCACCTCTGTCCTAGGCACCCAGCAGCTACTGTATCTGTTTTAGGCACTCAGTAAATATTGAAGGTTTCCTCCTCACACAACGCTCCCACATGGCTTGTTAATGTGAAAATAATTTTCTTGTAAGGAAATCAAAGAAAGCCTGTTACATATTGGCAGGACAGATATACGTACTTCCATATCACTCACTGGAGAGACACATCTGTCCAGTTAGCCAGAGACTCTGCCAGTGTTAGCACTGAAGGTCCTGTCTCCCGGAAAAATCCCCAGTGCCAGGTAAACAGGGACAGCTGGTCACCCCATCATCATGTCCATGAGGCTCAGCTTAACGCAGAAGCCGGCTTTCTCGGGCTCCTGCTCCCAGTTTCCCATTCTCAACTCTCTTGCTCCTGGAGGAAGGAGAGGCAGAGAGAGGGGAGGAGGAGAGAAAAGAGGTCAGAGGAGGGAGGGAGGGTGGCTTTTTCATGCCCCTTTCCAGGTGTGACCATCTAGGTCAGAGCAGTGTGTCCTCCCAGCCATCCCCACCTTGACTGCTCCTGTCTCTCTGAGCACTTGTGCTCCCCCCGTGTCAGCAGGTTTATTACTCACATTCCATGCAGGATCCCCAAACCCCAGTTCTGCACAAGGTGACGTGAATGAGGGCCAGATGTTCCCTGTGCAGGGGATGGGTTTGTATCATAGGACAGGAACCCCAAATTATGAGACTTGGAGCTTAAATACATGAACTAATCTTCTCCAGGGACGGAGGGGAAGGATGGAAGCAAACCTCTCTGGAGCTGACACACTGTCTCTAACTCCCAAGGCATGTTTGCTCTTCAATCGCCCTGGAACAAAGCTTGTTCAGTGCCCTTTCCTGGGAAGGTCCGAAAATGTTCATAGAGAACTGTCTCCTAACAAAGAGGATAATGCATTCATGAAACAAAAATAAGAGGCTACAAATAAGAAATGCTTGGAGAATAAAAAGTCTTGTAAATTAAAAGCACTAAGGGATAAAAATCTGAAGGACAAGGAGAGAAGGGATGGAAGAAAAAGATGAGGATATCTTCTAGGAATCAGAACAAAAAGATGGAAACTGAGAGAGAAAAGCTATGAAGATGAGATGAATACATGAGGTTCAGTGTGCAACTAATTATCAAAGCAATAATGCAAATCCTAGAACTCGAGCAGGTGGTCCACACTTAAAGTGCCTAGGGAGCGCCCATCTGAGGGAATGAAGACAGGCCAGCCCAGGGCGCACCATCAAGGTGGGGCTTCCTGGACGATCTCCTGAGAGCTTGGGTGGGGCACTCACACAGAATTTAAAACCAAGATGGCCTCGGGCCATGAGAAGGACACTATACTTCCCTCCTTCACAGCTCTGCCTCATTGGATTCTATATTTGGAATACTCTGAGGATCATCTTCCCCCTTTCTCTAATGCTCTCCGGTTGTCACAATCCTCCTCCCCCTCTTCATTCCTTAGGGGCGGGCAGGCTCCCAGCCTTCTGTTCTTCCTTGGGCCTTCTCACCCTACCTTGCCCATTCTTACCCTCAGGGGTTGCTCCTGAGCACTGAACCAACCAGGGCCTGGAAGAGCTCCTTCTCCCCACCCACGGAGGGGCCCACCAGTGCCTGCTTTCCAGCCCATGGTCACTGAGAACCCCACGTGACTGTCTGAGGCAAAAGTTTCCTGTCCCCAGGGGAATGCTGTGTCAGTGCCCAGGCAAGCCCCAGAGCTGACATCTCCCTGCCCAGCCATGGGCCCCAACCTGCTCCTGCTGCTGTTCCTGGGACTAGCAGGTAAGGTTCAGAAGGAGCTGCACTCTGGGTCCCCATATACCCCGCTCCACACCCAGGAATAACTGGCATTACCATGGCAACAATAACATGTAGGCCCACAAGGTGGACCTCTAGATCCCTGTGCCCCTATGCAGTGGGTGGGCCAGGAGATGCCCTGTCCAACATCCCTGCAACTTTCCTTCCCTAGGCCAGGGCTCGGCTGGCAGCCTCCCTGAGGTGCTGCAGGCGCCTGTGGGAAGCTCCATCCTGGTGCAGTGCCACTACCGACTCCAGGATGTCAAGGCTCGAAAGGTGTGGTGCCGGTTCCTGCCAGAGGGATGCCAGCCCTTGGTGTCGTCAGCTGTGGATCGCAGGGTCCCAGCCAGCAGCCGCATATTTCTCACTGACCTGGGGGGTGGCCTGCTCCAGGTGGAGATGGTTACCCTACAGGAGGAGGATGCCGGAGAGTACGGCTGCGTGGTAGAGGGAATCTCAGGGCCCCAGACTGTGCACAGAATCAGTCTGGATGTGCTCCCTGCAGGTGAGTTATCCCAGCCTGGCCACCACCGCTCTAACCTGCCTTCCTGCCCCACCAGCTGCTCTTGGGTCCTTGGTGGGTAGGGGCCCTTGTTGGGGAGGAATTGGGAGCAGATAACCTTTTGACAGCTCTGCGGGGAACGGAAACCAAACTGGGTGAGAAGTCTGAGATAAACCAGCCACATAGCAGTCCCCTTTCCCCTTCCGCACAAGTGGGTCTCCCCACAGGAAGGCAAATTCTCTTTCCCCACTCAGGGCCTTGGCCTCCTTGTCCAGCATTTTCAACATACTTGATGCTACTATTTTGCTTAGAAATGTTTTAAACAAAGTTTTAATTCAGACATATCAACTGGAATTAAGTTTTTTACATCTTCCAGGTTTTTATTGCTGTAATAACAAGTCTGATGACAGAAACCTTGTCACAAAACTGAGTCTCAGGGTCCAAGCAAGGCTCTCAGCAAGGATCAGTTGGCATGGTGTCACATCAGGGCCGACCCTAAGTTCCTGAGCTCCTGAGCGCAGAGCTTGGGGTGGGGCTCAGCCAGCCTGCAGGGGCGGTCACAGGGTTGCAGGTATGTGGAGAGGTCTAGCAGGCTGGGCTGAGGCCCCTTTGGAGAACAAGTGATGAGAGCCAGGAGCAAGGTCTCCAATGAGATGAGTGAGGTTGGGTAGGGAGGTGGGCACAGGTTACCCAGTAGGGCTTCTGCATAGTCTGAGCAGCCTGGGTACAGGCGGAGCAGGTGGAGAAGAAATGCAGGGCGGGGGGGGGGGGGG